CACAGTACACTCAAGGTGTGGACATTGAGAACTAGAGCAGCCTGGCCTCACCCTGGTGACTCAAGCCTCATTAGCAAAACACCATCCTCTGACATCATGGATCTATTTCCCACTTGCAATTGGATATATGTGATGCAATATGTTTTTTGTTGTTCTCACTTTCAACAGGTTTTAGTTTAAGAAGAGCTGTTTGGGAAAAAAGGGGGAAAAAAAGGAAAAAAGGAAGAAAAATAAAAAAGAAGAGCTGTTTGGCACTGGAAATATAACAAACCCGACTTTAAAAAAAGGTTTTAAACTTTTTTCTGGCTTGGAGACAAGACAGCAAAAAGAAAACACAGAATGGTTTGGAGCTAAAAGACCATGGTGCTCATCAGAGCCAAAATGGGGGAAAAAACATCCAACTAAAAAAGAATATGGACCTATTATCTAGGTACAATAATACAGCTCAGCTGATTGGTGGCACCGGTCTAGAAGAAGCTTAATTCAGCCGCGGGCATAATTTATCCCTCTGAGGATTAAAGCTAACGAACCTCATCACTGTTTGTGTGAAAGGGGATCTTCACAGCCAGAACGCGTTCTGAAAGATGACTGAAACATAATCACTGATGATTCGCTCTAAACTGTTGCAGTGGAGCGTGTCTGATTAGGAATAAAGTGCAAATAGCTTAATCTGGGTTAACACCGTCGCCTCACAGCAAGAGGGTTCCTGATTCATGTCCCTGGGGGACTGGGACTTTTCTTTTTGGAGGTTGTCTGTTCTCCCTGTGTCTGCATGGGTTCTCTCCATGTACTCCGGCCTACTCCCACCGTCCAAAAACATGCACGGTAGGTTAATTTGGTGAATTGGACACTCCAAATATCCCTTTGGAGATAATGTAAACGTGTGCTGTTGTTTGTCCCTGTGTGATGGACTGGAGTCCTGTCCAGAGTGTACCTTGGTGAGAGATTTAATCAACAGATTCTGGGTCTAAAAGTTAAAGTAATGGACTTCTTTTTAGGTAGTTTAAATCTTGGCCCGAAAACTTAAAGTAAAAGTTAAAGCTGTTCAAAGGCCCCACTAAGAGTCCTCTTTTAAAAACATGCAAACAATTAAAAAACTGCAAGCCAGTTGAAAACATACTTACGAAATGAGTAAATCAACCTCTTTGCTCATTTTTGCGGCGTATTATTTAACACAAGTGCACATTGTCGCCGCCAATTGTAAATGAATGGAATAACACAGACAACATGTGGGCTCCCCCATGTGTGTGCCATACAAACAAAATGGAGAAGGTCTCGAAACAGGATTGCTGTAGCACTCTATAAGGGATCAGAAACACTCAGAAGTGACCTTTAACTTGAAAAGTGGGATATTATTGCAAGACACGAGCAGAACCAGCGCCCTCCTGTTCCCATCGTGATTTATTAGCAGGTACTGGGAAATGTTTCAGTCTGTGAGATCTTCTGCTTCTTTTTCAGCCACACGTGATATTTTCCAGTCTGACATGTTTGGAATGAATCTCTCCAAACACAGACGATCTTTTGTAGAAGTCTAAATCAGGAAACTAATTCCAATGAAATGCAAAAAACAACAGTAGGCTTTTATTACCAGTGCTACTGGTACTCAACCCCCCCAAAAGCGATGATTCTTACTTAATTTAATCAGTTGCACATTTTTGTGTGCACATGCTCCATCAAAGGTTTTGGAATCAAAAACGCACACGAGCAGAGGAAGCATGAAACATGTCAAACCAACATGCGCTTGTCACTGCATTTAAATTAGCAGCAGTTAAACACAGAGCTACAGCTCATATATTTCACTTGGAGTGTGTGTGTGTGTGTCTGTGAGTGTGTCTCAATCCGGAGCGGCAGGGTTTGGGTCGTGATCTGGCTCCAGGGAGATGTAGAGTTGATTTACGGTTCTTTCACTTTTCAGGGAAAATAAAAGACAGGCTTGTATTTTTGCTGTCTTTCTATTCTCAATTCAACCACTCCCCGCCTCCAGAACCCAATCTGTCAGGCAGTATGAATGAGTGTGGGAGACTTGGGATCGAGCCTCGGGTGGCAGAACTGGACTTAGGTCACTTGAAGTGGGTGTAGGTTTGAAAACTTTGTGTGCGACATCCTTAAATAGGTTTCCACTGTTGGGGTGGGTGAGCACAAAGAGCTATTATGCCAGTCAGGATGTGTTGATTGTTTGCCTGCTTAGTGCTGAGCACGCTTGCAGGGAAAATGATGGGGTTGGAATTCTTTAAGTCTGGAAGCTACAAAAGTGTAATTAAGGAAGAGATAAAGCACAAAAGAAGAGATTTTGCAGTCAGGAGTCTTAAGCAGGACTATTTTCTGTTGTGAATCTGTGTTTGTTGGAGGGCTAATTGTTGTCTTAGAGTTTTCTGGTTTGTGAATCTCCTCTACTGTTCCTCCAGCACTCCAGCAAGCAATGAGCTGTTTACAAGAATATCACTGCAGCCCTCAAACCTCAACCATGTTATGATTTATGGAAAGCTGTGGTCTCACCAAAGATTTGGGCAATTACCAAAGTCCAGTTACACACTGATTTATGTTTCAGTGAGGGACTCTTGAGTCTTTTAAGTTGTGTAAACTGGAACACTGCACCTCTGACATTACTGATATTTGGCCATTTTGCATAGTTAGAGGCCAATGGTTAAAGTAAGACTTCACCCACATGCTGCATTTATTTCCCTTCAGGGATTTCTTTTGAACTTCTGAGTTAGGGGTAAGTGTTTTAAGACCAGCAACTTTCTCATTTGTTTAAACAACCTAGTTAAATTGTGCTATATTTGATTTGAATTAACAGTAAAAAGTTGCCATGTATGACTGAAAATCCCATGTAGAAAAAGGGAGCAAATCATACTCTCTTAATAACAGCTTTCTATCAGTTCCTAGAAATCTTCGGTGCCATTAAAGCCGGCACCAATTGGTTTGAAAAGTCTAAATGTCAACACATGGAGGATGAGGTCATCAAACGGCACATGGCACTCTTCCATCCAGCAGTGCAACACCAAAGAAATCAAAGGGACAAGCAAAGTTAAAGATGTAATTTCTAAATATGTACACATGGCTTTCCCCGGACAGAGAACTGATCATACCTGACATCAGATTTACATCTGAGCCAATCAAGAAGCCACCACCATGACCAAAAGCTGCAGCCAGTGTTGAGCTGCCCGAAGGTGCGGCACCACTAATGGCTAGCAGATGCTGCCTCTTGAATGTTTCACACTGTCGAAGCCTGCACTTCTTTAAGTCGTCCTATTTCTCCTATAAATCTAAAAATGGCAATGTTTTTTCTTTCTAACCAAAGTCATGACTTGAATGGGCTTTCTGTGACTACCCTTTCTGTTTGTGTCTGCAGCTTCCAGCAGATGAATTGCACATTACAAATCCAAAAGAAAAAAAACAACAACCAAAAAAACAAAACAAATCGAGAGAGATGAATAACCATGATTACCCAGTACACAGTTCTGGGAAAGACATCATCCCTCAACCTCTAATGTGCATCCATTTAACTCTATTGTGTCACTGTGTGGGCTCAAATCTCAGAGATCTGTATCATCAGTAGATAAAACTAGAACTTTCCACATGCACGCACATTGTTGGGGTGTGGGAGAATTCAGGGAAAATAAAAACTGACACCAACAGTTTTCTAGATGAGGCTTTAGGGTTAGTCATTTCCCCCCACTGCCCAAAAACATACACATGAGTGACATATAGGCTCATTCTCCATCTCATTTGTTGATTGTAATTTACTGATTTGCTAATATTTGCACATTGATATTGAAAATATTAGAACATTATTGGTGGCAGCATCAAAAACATCTGGGACAGGTCCATGTTAGCACTTTACAGCATACTCTCATTTTTTAACAGCAGTCGAGGAACATCTGGGAATTTTGGACCACTGGGAGAGGATGCTAAACAATCCTGGGCCTTCTTTGTTCCATTTTGCCCTCCATGTGAAAAGACTGTAGCCACCTGGACGATTCGACTATGAAGTCATGTTGCTGTAATGGATTCAGAGTAGGATTTAGCTTAGTCTTACTGATAAGCACAAGGACTTACGAGTAAAGGCATGAAAATGATGGCATATTTTTGCTTCAAAGTCTCTGTAATCCTTCCACTTTTAATGGATTCCTATGATGTGTGTAAGTTACCAGTTCCATGGACACCAAAGAGCCAGCATACCATCAGAGATGCTGGCTTTTAAACTGAGGTTCGAAAAATAAGATGGGTGGTCTTTATACTGATGGATGTGGCGTCCACAATTTGTAAGAATTATTTTTTAATTTTGGTTTGTCTGTTTTCACTGCCTCAGTGCATTTTAAATGAGCTTCGACACAGAGACCAGAAGCACACAGAAACATGTGCAGATTCTCTGGATCTTTTGAGGATTTTCTATACGATAAGCATTTGAAGCATTGGAATAATTAAATCTTTTTTTAATTTAATCCAGATTTTTATTATGTGGATACAATCATGTAACCTGTTGATGTTTCACCAGGTTGGTTAGGACACATTCGTCAATTATTGGGTTTAGTACCATTTGCTCTTCTTGTCCCTTCCCAATGATGAGGTAACATATTAAAATATATATAAAAAATATATATTGGAATCATATGTAATATTTGTATACTGTTGTGAAGTAATAAAGAATCCAATTCTATTTCTCCACAATACTTCTAGCACTGTCCTAGATTTTCTGGAAGTGGGGTTTTAATTGTAAATGTCTTTGTTTCCGACCAGCTTTTCAACTCTAGAGATCCTATCCAGAACTTTGGGCGGGTTCTGTAAAAGGTAAAAATATGCAGCTCAAAAAATCCTCCGTCAATGACACAGCTTACGTTCTCTTTTATTCGTTTCCACACGACTGTGGGACCTTTTCAGGCTCACAGGTGTGGAGACAAGTCCTGCTGCGGTATTCCGGGCTCAACAAGCAGGAACAGGTTGTCTGTGCAGAAGTCTTGACAGACAGGCATTGAAATGAGCCGTCATTCCGCAAACAGCTGTCAGAGGCGTTGCTCTGGTGCATCACCTTCACCACCAGGCTCACCAGCACCAGCAGCTCCACACGGCACTGGTGCACGCTTAAATTCTCCAACATGGCACCGAAAAACAAGCCGCCGCATGAATGCACCTGCTGGAACACAGGCGAGCATGTATGCTCAGCATGCATTCCCACACTAAAAATCTGTGGATGGGACAGCTGCAGGCAGCCTGTCTAAACACGGCGATGCCACAGCCACTTCTGACAACGCTGCAAGTGAAAGTGAGCGTGTGTGTTTATAGCCATTTGCCATCTGGAGGGTCGTTTTTAGGTGTGTTTGTGCAGGGCCAAAGGTTAACAGGCTGGAAGTTTCTTACAGTTCTGACAAAGAAATCGGTTTAATTGCTCCACCCCGAGTCCCCCTGTAAACAAGGAAGTGCAGTGATTTCATCTCTGGTGCTGGCATTTTTCATCTGCCCACACACAAACACATGCCTCATCTTGTCATATCATCCCATCTGTTATCCTCTCTTTGTTTGGATAATTTTATCGTTCTTTTGGCACACCTTCATGTAGGTGAGGACACATTTTTCCCTCTTTTATTTTAATTTCTTACTGTTTTAATGACTGACATAGACGTGGAAGAAAATATCTGATTATTTAAAGTCAACCACAGAAAATTGGGAAGTGGAAATTGACATTGACACATCCAGCAGAGGGCAGGTTAAAAGGGTTTTTCCAAACCTCTGATTAGCACTCTGAAAGTTTTTGAGGCTGTAAGTGTTATAGATTTACAATAAAAGTAGGAGCACCGGGTGCTTTTTGACATTTTGTATAAAGTCCTCTGATGAATCTAATAATCCTGCATTGATCTTTTGTTGAAAGAGCTTTTGGCCAGGAAGCAGGGAGCCTCCCCAGCACTCCTCCAACAACAGCAAAAAGCTGACGTGTAACAGCGTCTCAGTTCAGCTATTTTGAGGACAAATTCCTTAAATTTCTTGACTATACATCACTGCAATTCATACAGACTACTTATCTGGGATGTGACCTATCAGGACTGACACTCAAGGATTTACACAGCGGCAAGTAAATAATGAGGGCCTTGTCTGAAAAGCATCTTTATTTAGACTGGCGCTTCTCTCAAAGGCTGAAAAAATTGTTAAAGTGATAGATTTTAACATCATGGTGAGAAATCACATTTATTTCCCTTTTGAGAAAAGAGGGCTGGAAAATCTGAACTTGACTTGAATTTTCAGAGCCTTTTCAAAGCTTTTTGCAGACAGCGGCTTTCAGCGAACGGGTTCATTATAATGAAAAATTAAAGCAAAACAGCAACGGTGTAGGTCTGGTGAAATGAAAGCAAACTGTCTTACACTTTGAATGTTTAACTTGTAGGCTCAGTCCTCCTCAGCATTGAGGGTGCCAGTATTGTTTCTGGAGAGGTGACGCATCATTTTTAATCTCCTTGACAGAGAAGATCTGCTTCTCTTGGCAAAGTCCACTAATATCCTCTCCTTTCCCTTGTTCTTCTTTCAAACACTTGATTGAATTTGGCAGTGGGCCTTGGGTCATTATCATACCAGTACAGTCCTCTAACTATTACATTTTGCCCTCCTGGGAATTATTTTCCACCGTGCAGGTTTGTAGAAGGAGACACAGCCTAAAGGTAAAAAACTGTAAAAGTTTCAGTGTTCACAGGTCATTAAATAGCAATCTTTATGTGATTAGCTCAACTGGAAATCGCGAGTGGTCTTCATTTTCTTTCATTGATTACAGATGTGTTCCCTTTTGTTGCCCTTGAGTTTTTCTACTTGGGAGCCCAAAATGTTTGTTACTGATTGCTCGATTTGCCCACCAAGAAATATTTACACCTGACAGCTGTTAAATAATTCTGTAAAACATTTTGCTGTGTGACATATTCTGTGCTTTTAAGTGAGTGTCCCTATATTTTAATTTAGTTTCACACCATCCTAATAATTTAGTAGACACAGCTGTCCCAACAGTTTCTTTGGTTTAACCACCCTTCTGAGTTCAACATGCCAGACGTGCTTGCTTCAGCAGGACAAAAAAACCACAGTGGGGAGGTGGGATCCTGCCACCAGGACAGGTGCCACTACCATAATATCACAGCTTGTTTTGGGGCACTCCAAACCCTCTCACATGTCCAGTGTTGACAGATAAAACCGAGGAAATGAAGACGTAACAATAGAAAATATGACCATAGTCTAATTTATTCAGAGGGATTTTGCTGTAATGGAGAGTATAAGCAGATATTGGAGTCTAAGTGGGATCACAAAGAAAGGAAATTGCCTCAACTTAGACTTAGGTTTCATTTTCAGAATGAGTGTGGCCTGTGCAGCCAAAGAGCAGCCTGAGACTAGACTTTGTGGGCAGCTTTTACTGGTAGACATTTCGTGTGGCTGCAGGAAAAGTAAATCCCAGATTGTGTGAACATAAATAAATAGTTGAATGTGTCAGAACGGTGGCAGAGTTGACGGCACCCTGTTTGCTTTCCGTTTAAGACCGTGTGAGTCAGGCGTTTTAGCAACTGTGATCAGCGGCGCGGCATGAACGCCGCGCACTGTGCTTCCAGTCACCTGTTACTAATTGCCACAGGCAGGGAGGAGGGGAGCGGAAACTAAAAATGTTTATCTTGCTGTTGATCTTTCAACTTACCTACCGCAGATTCAACATCTGAGGCAACCTTTTTGAGGCAGGTTCGTACTCAGCCTGGGCGATTTTGGATTTCGACAGATCCAGCTGAGAGTCGGTGACTGAGCCCCCGGAGTTTCGGCCTGCTCCAGTGGAAATGTTTGCTGGCAGCACGAGCTCTGGACCGATGCCGGTGTAAGGCTGAGGCGGAGAACAAAGCCCTGAGTGTATCGGACAAGATGCTGCTCCCTCCTTAATACCAGGTTACAGTGCTTAGGGCCTTTGTCTGCATGAAAAGGGACCTGAGGCCCATTGACGGGGCACGTTGGGGGCATTTTCCAACTGACCTAAGAATGCAGGGCTATCCGTCAAGAGGAGCTGAGACAGGGCAGTTAAATTGAAGATGGATTGGCGACCAAGAGGTTTGGGGGAGACTCAAATAGAAATTTCTGCACAAAAAAGAGGAGACATGACATAAAAAGTCTGGAATCTCTTTGCAGTAATGGCTGAAAAAAGTTTTTAAAAAGTCTCTCCCTTTCTGCCATGTTAGATATTTTTCTTTTTTTTTAAACTTTTGTACTCAGACCTTATGTACCTGTAATAAATTAACTAATTAATTAGTCAAACATGTTAGGTGAATATAGTAAGAAGGTGGAATCCCATGTAGTTTAGGAAAAAAGTTTTGTATAGTTTTTAGACTAAAAGCACAAACAGAGAACAGAGTGAACACAAAGCTCAATAGTAAAAAATTAAGTAACTTTTAAAGTAATTTATTTGGAGAAAATTAAATTCAGTGTGGGCAGAAAAGGTACAAAATCTCAGTATGCATTTAACTAATTTTTCATGTTTTCAACTCATGAGATAATCCGGATTGAGTGCAGTAGCCTCTCCCGGCCAATAAAGTTTTTTGTAATTGTTATCCAGGTCACACAGGAACAGGAGCAAATGAAGGCCTGTCTAACAATGGCTAATGCCAGTGCTCATGAGCCCAGCATAAGGGGAAGCACAGCTGTCCAAAAAGGACATTGATATCCTTTTATGGATGGCTGCTGGAAAAATGCATAGATAGGTGAGACCGAAAGAGAATTTGTGGTTTAAAGTAAAAAGGAAATTGTGTGTGGGGGGGGGGAGCAAAATAATAAATTCTGATCTGTGAAACATGGTGGCGCAAGCCTCATTAATGGTTCTGATTCAAACCCGCCAAAAGCAGAGGAAATAATCAGGAAATACGTGAGCGTGGCTATGCTCAAGAAAAAGGTTTGGAAAACCCCTGAAATGTTTGAGCTGTTTGAGCACAAAATGATCAAAGGCAGAGAATTCATGCCGAGCAGAAATATTATGGACAGACATGAAAAGATGTCCATGTAAAGAAACACTCAAACACCTCAGAGCCTATGCTGATTTAAATTTAAGTTCTCTTTGTCTGAAAAGGTTTTCTGGGCTCAGTTGGCCTTTAAAAAAAGTGGCGAGAAGACAGAAAAACGGACCGACAGAAGGGGGAGGACCTGCAAAGGGGCCAGAGAGTGGGACTATAAGTCTCCTTTATGTGGGGTGACTGCACAATGAGTTAGATCTACTCAGTGACCAGAAGCTGTCAAGTCAGATTGTTTTGACAAACCTTTTTCCATCTAGTTCTCTTTCATAAAAAAAAAAATTGTGTTATTTATGACAGGCACTAATTCAGGGCGCCTCTCCTTTGGGATCATGTTTGTTTGCTGTGATTTAACCCCACTTTTTATGACAGTTTATGTAAAAATAGACGTATGCTTTAACATGTGTAGGAATTAATATTTTCCCATTTTCCCATATGTCTGAATACTCCCACGTGTTTCCTCCCATCCCATCTTATATCAGTTAGCCCAGTAGGGTCATCTGGAACTGACTCAACAGGTGGCTTTCAAAAGAGGCTCCCAGTAGCCCAGGGGCCCCTTGTCAGAGCCTAAAGGATGCACCCCCACCCCTACAGGAATACCTCTTCTAAAGACTGTCTTCTTTTGGTCTTCCCTCTGCGCTTCCTTAAATGTCCGCAGAGGCCTTAAGGTTGGCAGTCACTCGATATGAAAGGAGGAGAGGAAGGAGGTGCCGTGAGGAGCAGGTCATTCTACTTGGATGAGCAAATGGGAACATCTGCCACTCTGCTCCGACCCAAGTCTCCAATAAAAAAACACTGGAGGCGTCGTCTGAGAATATGAGCACGTTCCAGCTCAGGGCATCGGAATGCTGAGATAATGTTGTGATAAGAAGTTGAATGAATGGTACCGTGTAAGTATTCTGCCTTTCCCCCCCCACAGGCTCAACAATCAGTACTTCCCAAGGATGGTTATGCTGAGGATTGGGGGGGTCGGCAGGAAGGAAGAAGAGGATGAAAAGATTTTGAAAAACAGTTGTTAGGTCAGGTCATGACTTGATTCATTGTTCGGTTAAGTGTCTAAATCAGGGAGATGTTTTTTGTAATTAAGGAAGTTTTCTATCCTGATTAAGAGGTCGGTGGGAGGGCCTGTGTGAGTGATGCTTTTAAAAAAGACGCATCGTAGCTCATAGACAAGTGCTCTCAGTGATACCTGCTAATGGAAACAGCTTTGTATACGAACACCAAACAGGCCAAAAGTCATGTGATAATAATTATCTGGGTAACATTAAGGTAACCATTTGCAATTTTACAGTAAATATGTATTTTTGTATATATATCTATATATATACACATATTACACCCATACCACCTGGTATAAACAAACTTTGCCAAGGTTGAAACATTAGGTGTTATCATTCTTATCTCATGAATTATATCTTTACATAGAAATGTAGAAACAAAATAGCTAGAATTGCCACTCAATGTGCAGTAAGCAAAGAAGTCATACTGAAATGCATTTTTTTGGGCCAATAAATAGGTGATACTGTGCTGCATGCTGGGACAGGAGCGTCATCCTATAAGGAATGCTTTCCCATGACCTTTGGTTAAAAAACCTGCTTATCTCTATTTTATTTGGAAAAATTGTTAAATCTAGTGGGAAAGAGGAGAAATGGGCAAAGAATGATAATAAAGTAGATGGACCTTTCCATAGGAATTCAATCACACCTCTGAACACAAGGCCTGACTTGGAATTTAATCACAAGGATTTGAAATGCACAGGGGTATGATTTCAGAGGCTGTTTCCACTCTTTCAGCATTGAAAATCTAAAGTTAGAACAAAGGTATTTGTACATAACCTTTATTGATTTGAAGATATCTGGAGCAGCATCATCAAAGTACACAGAATATAAAGAAATAAAGGCTATAAAAAATATGAGGATATGTAAAGCATTTATGAAAATGACCAGCAGGACTAATATATTACATTATTATTGCACTTGTTTACTGTTATTGCACAAAGTCCAGTTGTGTCACTGCTCCTTCCCGTCCTCTGTCTTTCTGTTATCTGTTATGTAAGATTTGATGAGAAGATGGCGCTGAGAGCAGGCTGTGAATTTTGGACTGGTGACCAGGAACAGGACCCTTTGGCCTCTACTCTGACCTTTAACCCTTTCATTTCTAAGCAGTCCTCTGTAAGAGGACCAGCTTAATAGAAACACAAGTATCATGCTCCTTTTCGCAAGCTGCTAATTTGCCAGCGACCAAATTGGCCGTAGCGTATAAAATACAATTAAACCTGTCTTGTTTTAACGTCACCGGGAAAATATACACATCTGGAAAGAAAAACAAAAGGGAGAGATTAAGGTCAACACTGGCTGCCCCTGAATGTTTCCCCTCTTTAGCTGTTTGAAATACAGATGACCACACTGGAGCCAACCACACATGGATGGTTTACATTACCTCTCAACACGCAGCTCCACACATGCCCCCGAGCTGCTCACCTCCACACACACACACACGTACACACACACACGCACACACACACACACACGCACACGCACACACGCACAGCAGTCGGGCATTACCGCAAAGATTTGCTCATTACCACATACACAAATCTGTATGGATAATGTACACAACTTACACATGTCTGCCGTGTATGTTGACTTGTGAAAAAGCAGCTGCCGCGCGCTCGGCCTCCAAAAAATGGCCGATCGTGCTTCACCCCGGCTTTAGAGAGCCAGAGAGGCTTCGGTTTAGCTCAAAGCGATTGCTATCTTTCGTTAAACTGCGAACGTCCCGAACTGGACGCAGCTTCCGGCTCATTTGCAATTCATCTGTGCAAACAGCTCCGTGTACCTTGACCCCTTGCTTCTTAATGCCAACCTCACCGTCTCCCTTATCAGGTGGCAGTAAATCTTTGACAAAGCACAACGGGCCACTTTCTCATGCAGGACGCCGAACTGCGTGGGATCGGACGGATCGGGTGCTGCTTTTTGCTGAGAGACGGAAGATTTGGGCTACATAACTAATCAGACTAACAGATGAGCCCACGCTCTCTGCTCGCATATGCCGGCCGGGGCCACACTTGTTACTCTGTGTGAGTGTGTGTGTGTGTGTGTGTGTGTGTGTGTGTGTGGGTGAGCGAGTGGAAACAATGGCCCTGCTGTTTGCCTGCCCGCCAGAGCTGCTGTAGTTGCTTTACACCTGTGCTTGGCAACTCTCCCGGCACCCCCACAAGACACACATTACCTAAATCCCCTCCCCCCCCCCCCCCCCCCCCCCCCCCCCCCCGCAAACGTCCCATCGCTTCATATCAACACGGAGATCAGATGATGGAAGTCTCTGCTTTCCCCTCTCTGGTCTTGGACACTTCCAGCTCCATTCATCCCGCCATGAATCCGAGGCCAGGAGTGGTGGGAAGTCCCCGCCGTATAGCAGGAGCCCGGATCGAGGACGAGATGCGGGAGGTGCGAGGGAGCGTGGGGGCAGCTGCATGCGGGGGCTTTCAGGCCGCCGCTTGGATTTTAGGGGTTCAAAAGCCCGCGGAGAGTTACAATATTCTTCTGTGGCTTTAGGGGGGCTTTGTGAAACCGGAGCCCCCAGAAGGAGCCGGGGAGGGTGAGGGTTGTGTTGGTAGTAGAAGTGGGGGCCATTTCTTTCCTCGCCGTGTCAGCGTCACAGGTGTGTGGACGACAATGCATGTGTGTGTTAGAGAGTTGGGGGTGGGGGGGTCGCGTCCAATCAATGAGACACTGTATTGTAATCATCTATTGTGCGGACAAGACTGGTGCTCAAAAGTAAACACAACTGGGGAGAAATTGTGAGTCAGCAAGTACAGCCCCCCCCCGGCTGCACCGCCGCAGTGGCTGATGGGAAGAGGATTTAGAGGCCAGACGCAAAAACACGGCATCTTCTTATCGTTTCTGAAGCCGATGCCCGACGTTTTTCCACAGCAACGCCCGGCAACAAACAATGAAAGCAAATCAGATAAAGCTTGACAGGGAATTCCTCTCTGCAGCAGTTGCTAGGTAAAGGGCTTTTTCTGTCTCCCCAAATTCACTGAGAACTCCCCCCACTTTCACTCCCACATGCCCCCCTGAGACTGAAAAATGTAGATTAAAGCTTTTTTTTTTGTCATGACTTGACTACCGTTCATCAACAGCTCTGGCAGACTGTTGCATTTTTGGGATATTTCCCATGAATTATGACGGCCATCAGTAGGCCAGCTGTACGGCTGGATTCTTGCATTCACAGTTGCTATTATGCTTTTATGAATACATCTCTCTCCGCCTGTCACCACGATTTTACCTCAGTATGTGTGGATGCTCAGAACAAAGGGACGTCATGTAAAGCAGATCCCGCTCTTTTCCCTCCCCAGGCCCATTCAGTGCAACAAAATATACCAAATCAACATGCAAATGATTGTGTTCCCCTGAAGGCTACTTCACATCCAGGTAGGCCCCAGTCTAACCAGACGTGTGGTGTGTTCAAGTTCTCTTTGCAGTTTTTTTTTTGTGTTAAAATAGGAAACCAGTAGACGGGTTTGTGGAAAAATTGTGAAGTTGCAAACCTGCATGGCTTCATCCTAAAGACAAAAAAGCACTGAATCTTTGTGTTTCTGCCTAGTTTTACCAGGGGTCATAACCCAGAAATCGCTGTCTGTGTTTAGTACGCTTTCTTAAGATATCTGTCTTTGTGTTTTTTTGGCTTTCTGTCAGCAAAATTATGCAAAGGCAGCTTGATCAAAATTCACAGAATTTGAAGTGCGGGTCAACCCCGTTACATTTGCAAATAGGAATGGCTTAGTTTCCACAAAACGTCTTCTGTTGCCAAATGCCTGTGTAGATAATTAATGTAAGAAACCATACTAGTGGGAAATCTGTCCCCTTTCTCTGCATGTGTTAAAAACATATTCCCACACTGCTATTCCAGTCCTTTCTTTGGGTGTAGCATTTCCCAAAAATACAGTTAGTACTCTCTGACACCATTTATCTCTGTTTTTTCCTCATAATGCTCTAGAATTAAAACCGTTACTGATTAGCATGTGTGGTCAGATAGATAGATACCATGGCTGACGTTAGAGGAAGTCGGTTTAACTTTCTGTACAGGCCTACCAATTCACGTCATTTCTTCACACGTAGCTTCATAATGGGTTTTTAGAATTCCTATCAAAGTCTCATCAAATAGCTGTCAGGTAAGTGCAGAGGAGCGTAAAGTGGAGCCATTCCTCTCTGGGAAGTTGTGTGGTCCGAGTGAAAATGATAACATAAGACTGTTCTGTGAAGGGCAAGTGGTATAAATGAAAAGTGCAGCATGCTTCACCGACACTTTGCAATGAGGTGAATGCGTTTTATGTTTTCTTTTAATTCATATATCCCATATTTCACTCTGTCCTCTAAAACGAAACAGAATTTTCTGGAGTTTTAGAGTTTGCTTGGGACTAATATCATATATAAATGCTTGCCATCATTTCTTAATGTTCTCCTCAATTAACCTGCAATGAAAAAAACGGCCTACTTGGAACGATTTATTTTTAAAGCTGCGCACACTGCGTTGTGCGAGATGTCCAACAGTCCTCGAAGGCTCCAAAAGTTTTTCTCATGGTGCGCGCTGAGCCCTTCCACCTCCACCCCTGGAAACACACAAAAACCCCACGCCTCCTCCCCAAACGTGCTCGCACGCGCACACAGGCGCACACATGCAAACGCACACGCGCATTCCAGCGGGCGGAGTCCGTGACGCGCCGGGCCGGGCCGGGCCGGGCCGGGCCGTTTGTGAATGAGCTCCAGAGCAGAGCAGAGCGCACTCCTCACACTAGTCCCAGCCAAAGCACAGGCACGCAGCGCAGAAAGGAAGGAAAAGTTTTTCGAAAATGGGTTTCTGGGGTGGAATCAGACGCGTGTTATTTTCCTATGTACTCATTAATGGCATTTTCATCACTTTGCAAACTAAAGAAGGTAAGAATGTTTTGTTTTTAAAAATAGAAATAACTAAAATCCATGTCATTAAAGCTGGTTACACTGAATATATCTGGTTGACTGAGAGGGAGCACGCGTGCCATGCGGAGATCTGACTTGGAGGAACTTAAACGACAGGAAACTTTGTCATTTACTTTTTAACAGTCACAACTACCTCAGACTGTAGGGATATTTACCGCAAACGTTTTAGATGGGAAACGGGTCTGTTTTGGACAGTTAGCCTATCACAGTAGAAAAAGCTGAGTTGATTATTTGCTGCCTGCGCGCTCCACTAAAACTTTTTAACTCCGGCAGGTGAGCCCTTTAAATAGGTCGCTCGAATTGTATATTTTCTAACTAAACTTTTGGTCATTTCAAATGTATATGCCCAGTTCAGCACCCACTAATTCAAGAATATAAAATACTTCAACCCCAAAGACACTTTGCATGGGGAACATTGCTTGACTTAGTGTAAAAATAATTGCATTAGTCATGCAAAAATATGACTTAACATTATTAATATGGTGTATAGATATGTTTTTTTTCAAATAGAAATTTCCAACTGACTTTTTTCACTTGTTCCCACAGAGGTGCTTTTGGACATGAGGGCAGCAGGAGGAGAACTGGGCTGGTTGACATGGCCCTTAGATCAGGGAGACACACCTGGGGTGAGTATCACTCCGGCATCTCCTCCAGCTCCCATTTTCTCCGCTGGAATTTGCCTTAGGATAAAGCGACGTGCAGAAAATGTACAGGAGGTGCTCTGCTGTACGGACAGCCTCCAGGCAGAAACCATTCGATTCGACTGGAGCCGATGCTGAATGGGCTCCTTCTGTGCACGCGTCAGTTTTCTGTAAAATTCTGGCAGTGAGAATCTCTGTGACTCTGGATATGGGAAGGAGTCGAGGGATCTTATCAGGAGTTGTCTTCGGAGCATGTCGAGCTGCACCAATGCTCAGGCAGATAGAATAGCTGCTAGCTCTGAACTGGGAATACTTGTGGCTTCTTGCGGTTTCCAGGCTTCAGCTCCAGAATTGTATGTTAGAGAGCAATTAACTCTTAAAGTTTGCAGCATGTGGTACCTCTTTTTGGAGAGGAGAGGTTTCAGACGGAGCCAATCTGTCCTAGCTACCTTTTCCTTACAGCGGGAGAAAAAAATGTCCACGTTTGGTGATGCATCCCAAATGATGCGGTTGTCTTTTTGCCAGTTTACTAGAGACATGTGTGCTTTCCTCCATCGTGCGGTTACAAAGTAATTGACCAGTCAGGCCCATGCAGATTCACTGTAAATAGCCTCATTTCGTGTGCTGATGACTCAAAGGCATGTGCAGGCATGCTGTTCAGCAGCTCACTCAACTCCCTTAAAGAGGTTTAACTGCTTTGAATATACCTCTGGTACTTTCCTCCCCCCCCACCCACCAGTATATTTCAGGTGTCTCCATTTTTTTTCCTCCCCAAGTTTTGCAAGAGTGCATTCTTTCTCATGGAGCTACCATCTCTGATTATATTTTTCTGAGCATCATGGGTCGCTAATAAAATATTTCACCGGCTGTTTAATAGAGGCGTAGAGTCTGCTGTTGTTCATCAGGTTTATGTGCAGAACAACAGACTCAGCCAGCGAAGCACATTCCTTTAATTAATAGCACAGTGTGGAGAGCAAACCACAGCTTCTGCGTCTATTGGGGCCGCTTGCTCTTCTTGGGCCAAGCTTATGTTAGAAGTTGCTGTCACTCCTCTCAAACATATTTGTGGCAGCATTTAGTATGCATCCAGCAATCTTATCTGGGGACGATGCCAGCGAATGCAAAAGACGGAAGGGAAATAATTTGGTGTCTTTGCAATGTCAAAAATGCTCCGTCAGTCATTGTCCTTGAGGTTTGTTGTATTGTTACCCTGCAAAAAGCTCACTGTTTAATTCTGTGTGCAGAAAAAGAAAGGGAAATGTATTGCTGTGAAGGAAAGTACAAATATTTAGGGAGTGTAATTAATAATGTATGGATTTATGGGCACCTGCATACACACACACACACTCACACACTACACACTGTTTTTGTTTCCAGGTTCAGATTACAGTGGCTGAACCCTCATTTGAAATGGTTCCTCTGTTGTTTTGACTTCCTTGTAGTTTTTGATTCAGCCCAGCATGGTTAGAAGCTCCCCAGCCGTGAGTTTTTCTTCGTCTAACCTTTTTTGGTTTGTGTGGTTTTGTTTCCAGTGGGAGGTTGTCCAGAGAACTCTGAACGGCTCTCAGTTTTACACCTACTCCGTGTGCAACGTTGAGGGACGCGAGCAGGACAACTGGCTGCGCACCACCTTCATCCAGCGGCGCCCCTCGGCCTCGCGGGTCTTCGTGGAGCTCCAGTTCATCGTGCGCGACTGCAACTCGTTTGGCGGAGCCCCGCTGACCTGCAAGGAAACTTTCAACCTCTTCACCTCCGAGTCGGACGCAGACGTGGGCACCACCTTCCACAAAAGCCTGTTTAAGAAGGTGGCCACCATCGCTCCGGACGAGATCACCGGCAAGAACGACATGCGCATCAACACGGAGACGCGAGTGGTGGAGAACCTGTCCCAAAGGGGCTTCTACTTGGCCTTCCAGGACATCGGCGCCTGCGTTGCCTTTCTCTCTGTCAGAGTCTACTACAAGTCTTGCCCCTCCACAATAAAGAGCCTGGCCTCTTTCCCCGAGACCGTCGCCGGCGGTGAGAACCAGGTGCTCAAGGAGGTGCCCGGGGTGTGTGTGGAAAACGCCGTCAGCGTGGAGGTGCCGCGCATCTACTGCACTGTGGACGGCGAATGGGTGGTGCCAGTCGGACAGTGCCAGTGCAAAGCCGGCTTTGAAGAGAAGGAAGACTCATGTCAAGGTAAGGACGTGCTCATGAATCATCACTCCTCTATCCCAGAGGCGCTTATCTTGCCAGGATACATTCTCTTGAGGTGGTTTTCAAAGCGCCGCGTGCCTTCATTTTAATTACCATGAGTTATAAAACAAGACTGCATGACAAATATTTATCATAGGTGCTATTATCATTGTTCTGAGGAATTCTGCCCTTGGCTAATGCATCCCCTCTGTGGAAGGAATGCCGAGGCCCTCTTCTGCATGTCCTGGCATCATCCCTGACCTTGAAGACATGAACGTTGAAAACTCGCGTTTAAGATTCTGCTTTGTGTCAAAGATCTTCAAACTTTGTGGAATAGTGCCTGCAAACATACTTCTGCATAGATCACCTGGCTATGAGTATCACCTAAACTGAGGTTAGCATGTTGGCCCACAAGAGAAAAAAGCCCAATAACAGGAGCCAAACACACAAATTCCAGCGACATGAAAAAACATGACAGCACTTAACAAAACACAACTGCATGCTTAATAATTAGAAAAGAAAAAGTTTTAATGCGGAACATTTCAGTTCCGCATTAAAACAAGAAAAAGCTTTAAACATGATAGCATTTCAGAAATGTCTGGTTGGTTTGTTTGGGAATTTTATACCATCTCTTTTTCCTCTTTGATGGTGAAATAAGGTGCATTTTTATTTGTCAGTATTCATTTAATGTTTGGTTGTGCATTTAACGTTTTCAATTCAAGTTGGCTGCATCAACCAGAACTTTTTTATTAAAAAAAGAAAAGTTCAACAAAAAAAAAAGAGAAAGAAGGTGGATGTTCTTTTTGTGTGTTTTAAAACAAATAGTAGTAGTAGAAATGAAAAGAGTAGAAATGAAAAGCAATGCTTAGGAATTCACTGATGAAATTTGTACAGAGCTGACAATAATGTGTTTTTATAAGACGAGAAAAGAGCAATTTTCCATTCGGTTGTGAAAAATGCTGACACGTTGTCAGATAGTCACTGTCAGTTTCACAAAATGCCAGATAGTCTCTCAAGAATTTAGTTTACAGCCATGAGCAGATTATGAAAAAGGTGCAGTCCTCTGGACGCTGTCCTGCTCGAACACTCCTCTCTGCTCATTACTTGTGACATGTTGCATCAGGTGATTTCCTGTTCTCTCGTTATCATCCGCTCTCTTATCTTGGTATGATTATGCTCTGTAGCCTGGCAATAACTCAGGCCTTTGACTTTTTTAGTTAGGGTGTACCTGTGTTTTAAGTCCCAGCAAAGAAAGTGTTTTCTTTATTATTTTTTTCTTTTTTGTTGTTGTGGGATGGGCCGGCACAGTGACTGAGACGGATCAAAGCAGACAGAGGGTTACTGTACAGTGATGGATTGGCATCTTTACGGCTCATGGGAGAACAGAGGAGGAAGCTGGGTGAAGCTCCTGAGCTTCACTGACTTTGGTTCATATCATACATCACACAAAACAGAGCCCCCTGTTCCATTGAACCTCAAATTTCCCACATCTATCTCTTTTTTTTCCCCTCCTTGGTTTTAACCAATTAGCCGGGCCTCGTCTTTGGGGTGTGTGTCTTCATGTGAACATGCATCACAGACCGGCATGTGAGGGCCTGTTCAGATCTGTCCCATCACTGAAAACCTAAAGCCTACAGACCGAGTGATATTTTTGCTTCTTTTGTTCGCACCCGTGTGTGATTTGATTAACTCCTTTAGAGACGCCTTTAATCGGAAGCACACACCTTGAACCGCCGAGAGAAAATTCACATGCTGCTGGTGCAGAACACGTTTGACTCCCCACTTAGTTTTTCCCTCTCGCCGGCGACAGACCAAATAAAAGTGCTGAAGTCTTCTGTCAGTACATCATTTTTAGCTGCGGAAAAGTGCCAGGTAAGAGGATTTTAGGGGAGGAGGGGAGGAGGAGAGACAGGAAGGAATGAAGGAGAAGTCATCCAAAAGTTAGGGGTTGTGTTTAGAGGAGGGGTGTGATTTTAAAACGACGAGAGGTGAGGAGCGGAATGCAAAGGTAGGAGAACAATGAAGCGCTGTGTTTCCCCACAAGGCCGACGGATCCCACATCCACCTCCTCCTCCTCCTCCTCTTCCCCTTGGTTGGTACATTCCTGATCAGTTTGCTGAGAAGGAGACTCCCAACATTACTCCAGACCTGTGGAATTCCCAAGAGGTGGGAAGAACAGCTCCGGGTCAAGCCCTCACATTAAAATGGCTAAACAAAGAATACCCCCCCACACACACACCTTCAAAACTACCAGGATAAAGTCAAATGACAGGTCTGAGGTGCATGAGGGTAGCTGCGGATGAAGGTGGAAATGAATCACAGGGTTGCAGAGCAGGGCCTAGATGAATGGCTCGGGGGGCTTTAAAAGGAATATCTCCCGGACACACAGTTAATCATTCTCCCACTTCATTCCTGTATGGATTGGTGCGGCGAAAGAAACCACAGAACTTCGACTGTGGTGTTTTTTTTCTTATTTAGGTTGAAATTTTCCATGTTCCGCCGTGTGTTCACTCAGTTTTATTGCTCCTCGACCCCAAGGGACCAGTGAAAACAGAGATCTGTGACTTCATCTGGTTTTCGTCTCAATCTCTTCATCAGCTCTCAGCACGGCGGTATTTTTGGACTAGAGATCAGTCGCCCGTCAAACCTTATTTCATGGATCTCCCTCCTTGAGCTGTGGTGAGCTTCCTATGTGGCGTGTGGCACTCTCCTCTTGATGGCCATCAGCGTTTAGACAAACTATTGAGCCAGACACAAAAGTCAAAGATGACACACTTCCTGTGCTTGCAGAAACGTACCTTTCAGGCTGTAAATCAAGCCAGGCAGTGGCAAACCCCAAATTGGCTTTTTGTGTGGAAATTTTTCAGATTCCTGTAAAGGATTAGACTTCTTATGAAAAAAAAAGCATTAATCATAGACCATAAATTAAATGAGCCATGTAAGAACTTAACTTACAACCACAATTACTTAAAGACTGATGAGCGAAAAACTGAGTTAGTTTTCTACTTATTTTATTTCCACTTCCTTTTTTCCCTAGCAGCACATTAATTATAAGGTTAACTTTAATCTAAAATGCGAGTGTGCGATAGTATTTGTTTTGTGTTTTTGCATCAGATCAGGAAATCCTGAATAAACTTTTTTCCCCTCTCTTATTGTTCAACAAAAACATAACTGGAAATTAATCACAAAGTTGGCTTTTAACCCTAAGTAGTTTTTGAACTTCTGGCACACCCTTCCTTTGCCCATAATCCAGGCCGGCTCAGTGTAATGAGTGCGTGCCACTCTTCAGAAGATCCCGGGCTTCCCCGGCTGGGCCTTGGATTCGAGCCTCAGTTGTCCCCGTCCACACCTCACCAGCCCCCCTTCAGCATCAACGAAATAGGCTTTAATCCAACACTAAGCTTACACAGTCTTTATAAAGAGAGACACCTTGTGGAATAGTTGGTTTGTTGATGGCTGGTTTGGTGTCTTGGAGAAAGTCTTGGTGGAACAACTGTCCACGAGTTCCAGTAAAGTTATTATTCCTCTCGCCAAGGAGGTTCCAGTAAACTATTTTCTCTCTCCCACTCAATCCTTTTGCGCTCGCGTATCCAAACTCGTCTCAGCTGATGTACCAAACAGTGGGTGACTAAGTTGTAGTGCGACTGCACGTTGTGGTGAGTGATTTGTATAGGTAGTAATTGACTTGGGTGTGTTTGGGCTTTTTAAGTAGAGTAACTACTGGTTCTGCTTGCCTCTTTGCCTCCGCGTTGTGTCTTTTTCTCTCTTCTGCCCCGTGTCCGGAGACACTGTCGATCTTTATCCTCAATTTTCTGCCTCTCCTTTTTTCTATTTATTTGACGGTTTCTTATCTCAACACATTATTCCCAGGGTTGTTTTCGCAGTGCTCCCGGAGAACTTCTCCAGAGACGCACACTGTTATGCAAGCTCTCCCAAACGCAACAAACTGAGAAACAAACAAAAAGTTTTTCCTGCATGTGTAGTTTTCATGTTGCCCATTAACTTGCAGACTGGCTGTTATTTTTGGCTGGTTTGCAGGTCATGAATATGACACCAATAGAGTTTAAACATCCCGTTTCACACGGCCCTGATGGGGCTATTCAGACTGTATACACTTCTTGTATTGCTGCCTGATAAATACTTTTCTCCCTGACTGACTCGTAAAGATAAATAAAAGCTAAATGGGAACAATGCTGTTAATCGGAGAGTTTTTAGCGGAGACGGAGAGAAAAACAGTTTGTCCCCTTCACAAAGTGGATAAGGCATAAACAGGCTTTATTTATGGAGCTCACCTCTCAAAAATCTTTACAATGACTGATGTATTCTTACTTCCAGAAGGCTGATTTCTTTTTTTCTGTCTTCATTATTTTTCTTTTTATAATTGCCCCAAGCCTCTATGGCCAAGGTCTTGTGCAATATCTGTTTATCTGATCTGGGGTGTGCAAAGACACACGCCACCACTCCTCAAGATCCCTGAGATTTCGTTTAGTTGGCTCAAGGTGGATTTCAGATAATGGAATCACCTCACTCTAACAGGATTATCCCAGCAGTGTCATTTTCTGCTCCACCAATTTCCCTTCACTTGTGCTTCTCTTAGCTGGTCTGACTGAAACTGTGAGTCAGTCTTATCGAACAGCGCCGCTCACTCAGATGCCGGGGCTGGATGCTACCTCTCCCCTTCTTTGTCGGCTCTTGAAAGCCGTCGTGATTACTCTGAGTTTGTGGGTTTCTCAGATGCTTTGCCAAGGTTTGCCTTGCAGGCTGAACTTGAAGGAATTGGTTACACAAGGGGGGGGGGGGGGGGATTTGTAGGCACTTTTAAGTGGTGTCATGCACCGTCTTGTTTGGTCGTGATTGTTGTGAACAGAGCGCTGGCAGTTTCTGTGAACAATGATGGAAAAATGTAAAGAGGAGGTCTGATGGGCCTCTCCACAGAGGACGTTGGAGTTGTGGTTTTTCGACACGTGAACATTGAAGACATGTTGTAATAACAGCAAAAGCAGAAATAGCTTTGGTCTTAATAATCTTTTTGTCCCCGGCTATGAAAATGTTGCAAACCAATAAGTGAAAAGAGGCTAAAAAAGTTCAATAGCAGCATCAGTTTATCACATAAACGATTTAAATGATATCTGTAGTAAATCAATTAAACTGGTTATCGGGGCTTAAACCAGGCGTTTGTGTCTTTGATAGCAAGAATATATTTTTTTATCAGTTTATTTAAAAATGTCGGCCCTCGATTAAAAAAAAAAACAAAACAAAAAAAAACTTTAACAGTTCTCCGCATGTGAGAGTGTGTGCTGTTTTTTCTGTGGCGTTGGGACATATTTCCTCTCGGTGACATTCCTGAGCCTCCAGGCTGTGTATGTATGCATGCATGTGTGTGTTGTGGTGGGGGGAGTCTGCAGCAATGTGAAGCGCTTTGTATTGTGCTGCTGGTGTGTGAGGTCAGCACTTTCCTTCCCCCAAAATCAGTCGGTTATCTCCCCCCCCCTCATCCCCCGCGGCACAACACCCACCCACCCTTCGCTGCTAACAGGACGAGCCCGCAGCGGAAACCGGAGGTCACCTAATCCCTTGGTGACTCCCCGACCCGTTGGCTCAGGGCTTTTCATTGTGGGTCGGCGCTGAACGCCCTCGCTCAGCCGCTTTCCATTTTGTTGTCCTGCCCGATAAGTCGTTTTGTTTATTGGTGCATTTGGTCCCGTTTTGGCCACTTCCCCCTGGCCAGGAAGCAGACAGCTGTCAGCTTCCTCAGCGGAACCTGTTGGCTGGCAGAGATGTTGTAAAACGGTGTTGCATTTGCCACCCGGGTGCACGGAGCTGATGAGCAACATGGTGAAACTCGGAAAAAAGGATGGCACCGGGAGCGATGTCAGCCGGGTTTGGCATAGCGGCTGCATATCTTGGGATCTTTTTGAGGCTGGATGTGTTTCTCCTCAGCCCCACATTTCACTCCCTGTATCTCTCCTCCTGTCAGTGAGGGGGAGTTAGTCAGAGGAGAAAGGGGATTGGGGAATTTATTGTGTTTGTTAACAGCCCCAGATGAAAGCCTGAGTGCAATTGTAAAACAGATGTAATGCCCTTACAGCTGCTCCATTGGTCAGCTAATCCTTTTGACTAATGCTCTCAACCCCCTTCCACACACTTCCATCAGTCCCCCTCACCTTTATTGCCCCCCCCTCCTCCCCTCCTCCACTCCAGTGACCTTTGGATCGTGTTACCAGGTCCACCTCCCCCATCAGAGACCCCCATTGCTCCAACAATCCAGGTACCCAGCAATACTAATGGCGTGCTGTCACCCTGCATATAAACAAAGTGACATGACATATTGCAATTATAGCCAAAGTTGTTGAGCTCGGGGATGGAGACTGGGGGGAAATGTATGGAGAGAAGTTACAGATAAAGCTAGACGAGCATGCCTCCGCAAAAGTGCTCCGATAAAGATCAGACATTGTGTTTATTTCTTGGTTGGTTTTATTTTTCCAAGATCAATTGTGCACGCTGGCCATAGCTCAGCATTTAACCTTTCTCCCTCCTCTTCCTCCTCGTCAGCGCTAGCATGTGTTTGTTTTACTTGGCCAATGACTCTGTGTAAAGCCATGCACAGTTTAACTCACAACTGCCCTGAGGCAAAGGTGACCTTTCTGCCTCTTAAAAGCCCAGCGCCGGACTCGATTGTTGGGGGGCCCCCCCTGCCATTTACTCCGTACGTCCTGTAGGCGATTTCTGCTGTCAAACCGCCATGTTATCCATTCATCCATCTATCCGACGGGGCATTCATCACTGTTGTCATCTCATCCATCTTAACTTCGGCAGACAAACCGGGGAACCCCTTGGAGGCTCCTAGACCAGAGCCATTCGGGCTCCCTGAATGTAGCAGGCCCCAGCACTCATTCTGAATAAACAAACACAGAGCCACTTGAGGTGCACGGGGCCTCTCATATGACAAACAGCTCTTTTCTTTGTAGCAAGTGGGAGGGAAAAATGGTCAGCTTAACATTGTCAAACGTTTCAACCAAGGAGAGGTTGAGAGACGTTTGTTGATGAGATCACTCATCTGAGGAACCCCCTTATGGGTTTAGTGCCAGTGTTCGTGTTGGGTCAACGTATTTTTTGCTTCCTTTTGGGTTATTATTCTGTCTCAGGGCTCTTAGCCTCGGTGCTGTTTCTTCTGTTAGTCATAGTCTCCTGTGCTCCAGTGCTTTGATTGGCTGCTTTAGGAAGGAAGGCTGCGTCGGCTGCACACTTCCTGCTTCCTGTTGTGTCCCGCAACAATCCAGAGCCCCCCCCCCCCCTCCCACCTTCTCCATGGAACAAGGAAGTTTGCTTTTTACTGGACGTTTCTCTTTTGTCGAGGAATCGCTCGTTTAAATGCCTCAGCAGAGAGTCATAGTTCCATTTACTGTCATGCTCCAGAAGTACAAACTGTTTGTTCACCTTTCTAACAGACGTCTGAACTGAAAATGGGGCGGCGCTGGAAGCTCTGTGCTCTGGGCCTCCTGTTGGGTGGTGTGCACTGGAATGCATCTTGATTATAGAGGCGACACACAGTGTAAGGCCATCATCTCCACAGCCCTGACCACGACGCATTGCAGCCGGTACTGTAGCACCAAAAAGAGGCTAGTCGTCCTCTATTCACTCGCCATGTGGCATTTCAGCTATTCCCATCTGCAGTGCTTGGGTGTGTGTATTTTCTTTCTTTTAACACTTGAATGGCATGGCATTCTCCTTGCCTGCTGGTCAGTGGTGAATAGCGATGTTAATGTGTTAGCTGGGAGCCCTTTTTAGTGTTGACTGGGAGGAGAAAAAGCAGGGGAGGGAGGAATTTGGGGATTACGGAGTGGAGAGGTAGGCGAATGAATTGGGGTTTGAGGGCAGCAGCTGTTCCTCCTTCTCAATGCAGGAGTTTACCCCAGCCTGTCTCTTTTCTTTCTTCAGTCCCCAGCAGGATACAGTATTCCTCTCTTCCTTTCTTAAGCCTTCTGTTGCTTCATCCCACCTCTGCCTCATTTACGTTAATGAGTAGCAGTAACTGAAACAGCTGGCCAAGGCAGAAAAGAGATGTAGTCAAGAGGGAGGACCGAGCGCCACGTAATCCCATTGGACAAACATACAATCTCTTCCTGTGCTGGATGTTTTTTCTCTCCGCAGTGGTGTCATGCTCTTCAGAAAGTCCACGGCTCCTCACAACAGCTCCGCCACGGCTCTGTGAACTGCAGTTGCGTGAAAAGCCGAGCAAAGTTAAAATGAGATTCACGCTCAGTCGAGTAAATCCCCCTGATGCGACTTAAATGGAGCTAAAGCTAAGTGCTTTCTGTCTTGCGTGTGGCCACTTGTGGCTTCCAAATTAGTTTAATTCACATGAAACTTTAGACTAAGACAGTATCCAAGTAAATCTAATACCGTCTTTGTCCTTGGCTCTTCTCCTCAGTTCGCCCTTGTTGGAATCTAGCCGGCACTCTCTTTGCCTTTGACTTTTACACTTCTTCTCCCAGTCAGCGCCATTACTTGGATGCCTCATTTCACTTCATTACACGCATGTCCTAATTACTGTTTAATCGGTTTTAACTTAATTCCCATTGTTAGTTTCTCTGCTTATGTGTTCCTCCATCTTTTGTTGTCCTTTGGCCCAGATATAGGCTCTCATTTGCATTGTCAACATCTCCTAACATCTGTCACGAGCTATTTAAACCCTCCAGGCAACAGACATGGAAGGAAGGAAGGAAATGTGTGTGTATAATGTTTATGTGTGCTGCTGAATTGACCACGCAGAGAGACATGAACAGGTGACAGCCGACGGACATAATCCCCCCCTCTTGATGCCAGGGTATCCATATGTCCAAGGGTGTACTTTGCATACATGTATGTGTATTTTGTGCGTGCACTTGGGTCTGGGCGCCTGTCTGCAGTGCACACATAAACGCGTGCGCTTTTGGATGAATGTGCAATGATGTGTGGACATGAGCAGCAGCCGTTGGAATGCTCCGCTGGAGTTAAAGGGGAGCCGTTCCGTTTTCGCCCTCCTTTATGGCACACTCTACCAAATTTCACACCGTATTAAGTTCAGATTTCACCATTGCTATGCGCAGCTGGACCTTGTACCTGCATAGCTTTGTGCTGAGTTAGAAGTGTGAAATTAGGTGCCATCTTATCTCGGCGATACAGTTTCAAAGGTCTCGATGTGGGTCTCTGACAGAAAAGATATAACAGACTCGAGAGTCTTTGGCACTTTGCTGATTTCTCCTCCCTCCGTTTCCTTTTCTACTGCAGCACCGAAAACTGACTTGCGGTTGTGGAATGTAGGAATACCGGTTGTGTTTGTTGAGACAGAGACGGTAAGAAAGCAGCAGAGGCAGAGGGGGGTTGGTGGTTTAATAAAGTGAGGAGTAGGAGTGGTAGTTATGCTGTGAGTTCGCATTTTTGTTTCAGGGCTGGGCCCGTGTGAAAGGCTTTTTATTTGGAACGAGCAGATTTTTAATGAGTAGAGTAAACACGATCCAGTCTTTTCCACGTTCCCCCCCCACATTTCCATCACTTGTCCAAACGTGGCCTTTAGCCTTGACATAATAACGTGTCCGCTCAGCCTCGCCGCGCTGTGCTCCGAGGTGAAAAGTTCACAGCTCCCTTTAAAGGAGCCTGAATGATCTGGAGTAACTGGCTTTGCTCCGTGTCATTTGGGGTGCTGCTTGATGTCAGTTTTGTCTTTGTTCGCCGGCTCTTTGACTGAAACGCTTCTTTGTGTTGGCAGAATGCGAGCCGGGCTTCTTCAAAGATAGCGAATCCAGTGGCAAGTGTGAGGCTTGTCCTGCCAACACCCAGGGCCTGAAGTCTGGGGCTTTGTCTTGCCCCTGTATGCAGGGCTTTTACCGGGCTCCTACAGACTCCAATAGTGGACCCTGCTCAGGTAAGGAATACGCATCAAATAATGATGAACGAAATTAAAATGACTCTTTAATCTTATTTGATAGCCCTGAATTTTGATTCATACACAAGAGCAGCTATAATTTCTTATATATATATTTACATATATTTCATGTTATTCTCTTTTAGGATTGAAAAACCTAATATTTTGAACCTTAGTGTAAACAGTATCATCATTTCTGTCACGTCAGATGAAAAACGGCACATTCAGCGTTTTGTGGCTCTCCACTTCCTCGTTTTTCATATTTGAATTCCCTCTCCTAAACTTCCCCCCCTTTAGGTCCACCCTCCGCCCCCCGAGACATCGTGGCCACCACCACCCAGCTCTCGGCAGGAAAACTCCTCCTCTCCTGGAACCCCCCCGCGGACACCGGCGGCCGGGACGACATCACCTACAACGTGGAGTGCCAGCGCTGCGAGGGCGCGGTGTGCCAGCCCTGCGGGGAGAAGATCCGCTACGACCCGTCCGGCACCGGCCTGAGAGACACCAGGGTGTCGGTCAGCGAGCTGGACGCTCACCTCAACTACAGCTTCACGGTGGAGGCGCTCAGCGGCGTGTCGATGTTCGCCAGCCAGGCAGCGCCGCGCGCCCACAGGCCGCCGTCCTCCGCCACCCTGACCACATCCCTGCACTACACGGGTGAGCGCCGCTGCCATGGTGACGCCATCTAAGAGCAGACTAAGATCTCTGCGAGTTAAAATACACCACAAACGTGTAACTTCAGTTGAGAGGTTTTCATATCTAAAAAAACTCAAGTGTTTCGTCTTTGTCTTCAGATCCACCCAAAATTACCACGATGCGACTGGTCGAGAGGGCCCCCACCAGCCTGTCCCTCTCCTGGGATGTGTCCCCTCGACCACGGGTCCAGTCCCGGCCAATCCGCTACGAACTCACCTACCGCAAGAAGGTGCGCCCCCCTCATTTGATCTGTCGCAGTGCCTGGAAATAAAAGGGCTGGTTTTGTGTGCCCGTTGCTGCCGTTCTTGTTCAAACCTGTCTTTAATTTATGCACTGTATTGAATCATAACTTACGATAGGCGTGAAACATCCCTGGCACATAGAAGCTTTTCAGTTGTGTGTTCCTGATGCAATCGTCATTTAGAAATAGACACCTCAGCCTGGTTTTGCCACACTAGAGACCAACTAGTTCCGCTCGTTTAAAAGTGGAAATCGGCAACGGGCTTTGACCTCAGTGGCAACGCTGACCTCCCTTCTTCCTCTCAGGACGACAACTTGGATGTGACTACCTACATTGTGCTCATACTGGAGAAGAGCTCTGTAAAGGTCAGCGACCTGGACCCAGACACAGCCTACCTCTTCAGGGTTCAGGCCCTCAGCAGTGACGGCAGCCCCGGAGGGTCAAGCATGGAGGAGCAGTTTGAAACTTTGTCTGATGGTACGAGAGGAAGCGACTGAAAAACAACGTTGCCACCCGTGATCAAAGAGGGCATCTCTCCTGAGTGTTGCTTTCTTCTTCCAGGGCACCATACTCCCAACAGGACCGCCATCATCCTCGCCGGGGGAGTCGGTGGAGCGACCATGTTGTTCATCGTGGTCGTGATTTTGTTCCTGCGCAAACGGTTAGTAAGAGCCCACTCCGCTGCCCTCCTGCTCTTTCTGTTCCATTTGCAGTGCTGCCTTTCTCTCTCATTCTTCTGGCCTTCCTTTGTGGATCCTCCACAAATGGCCTTTGCATTCACTCTCACCTCACCTCTCGCTCTCTCTTCCTCCAGCCAGCTGTCTCTTTCTCTCTATCTGGATCTGTGTCCCGGCCCCTCACCAGGGAGGAATTTGTGTTGAATGTGTCTTGTCATTGCTCAGCGGTTACTTTCTAGTGAGTGTCGGGACCTTTGAAAGGAAATTAGCCCGGAGTGGCACATTGTTGGTGATAAGAGGCGCTTGGTTTCTTTCTCTTCCAGGGTACAGGCACTTTGTAAAGGTGACCTGGGTCTGTACTGTAGCAGATTGTGGCTAGCCTGTCCACCCCCCCTCTCGCCTGCTTTCAGTCTTTAAACTGTCTTGGAAAACAGTCTATCTCCAGCTATTCTCAAAGGGCCACTTCTGTCTGAATGGATGCATTTCATTGGTGTCTGAATGCTTTTAAAAGCTTAAACATCCAGATAAATTGTTACTAGGTTTGCTGTATGCTATTGATATTAGTGACTGAAAGATTTAAAGACGAGCCCACTTTTTTTTTTTTTCGTGGTCGGAGGATTAATTGGCATGTGTTTTTTTTTTCTTTACTCAGGAGGAGAAACTCTCACACCAGGCAGGGGCCAGAGGACACATACTTCTCAAGCCCAGGTACAAAAAAGGAAAAACAATGAGCAAATATCACTTTATGTGATGGTTTTGATCCACTTGTTAACAACAAATTCTCTTTATTTGGCGCATAGAGCAATTAAAGCCGCTGAAGACCTACGTGGATCCGCATACATATGAGGACCCCAACGTAGCCGTTCTGAAGTTTGCCACTGAAATCCACCCAAGCCACATAACCAAACAGAAAGTCATTGGAGCTGGTGAGTGACAACGCCGCTGAGACAATATGCTGTGGGGCTTAGCTGAGAGATGTTGAAAGATCCTTCCAATCCCCCAAATTCGCTGTTTATATTGTGCATTTTCCACTCCTCAGCAGGCTGACTGACAGTGGTTACTTGGGTGAGATTAACATCTATCGGGCGGTGTTCTCACAAAACAAGTTGAGACATTTTTTGTTGTTGTCGTGCAGCAACTCCTGGCTGTGGGATATCTGTGTTTTGGCTGCAGTTGACAGAAAGGTTACACAAAAGAAAGAGCCGCAGAAGCAGTGTTTTGGAGGGATCTCTGAGCACCTTCCCGGGCCTTGCCCAGGCTTTTTACTAAGGATACGTTTACTCAAGTGCGACCACCTTTAGCCTTTGAACCGACAGCCCGTTTCAACCCCCGGCTCTCATGACCATATGCCCCCGTTCTTTCTCACGTGACAGCTGATTCCCATGCTCCCACACCACAGGGCATCTAGCAATTACACAATGTAGCCCTTTTCTCTGTCAGCATCAAGGCAAAACACACCTTTGTCAGAGCGCTTCAGGCTAAACAGCCACAGATACTTCCTCATTTTTTAATTTATCTGTAGAGCAGCCAAACCCCTGCAGCAAAAAACTTAAGATGTCCTATTATATACACATCTATTGATACCTGTCTCTCCAATAATGATGTTTATGTGCAGGAGAGTTCGGTGAGGTGTACCGCGGTTCCCTGAAGGTGCAGGGGCGGAAAGAGGTGGCAGTAGCTATAAAAACCCTAAAGCCTGGCTACACAGAGAAACAGAGGCAGGATTTTCTGAGCGAGGCCTCCATCATGGGCCAGTTCGCACACCAGAACATCATTCGCTTGGAAGGGGTGGTCACCAAATGTAAGGATTTCTGTGAGTTTGACCTCCTCTCAATTTATTTTTTACCAGGCTGCCTTAAAACAGACAAGGCTCATCATTTGCTCTGTTTTTCTGCAGTTAAACATGCTATGATAGTGACTGAGTACATGGAGAATGGAGCACTGGATAGGTACTTGAGGGTAAGTCCACAACATTTGGTGATGTACAAACCTTTTTGTCATTCTCTGTTGTTGTGTGTTTTGTTTTTATTAGAGCCCAATATATCAACCTAATCAATATATCTGCATATATGCTTATTCCCTTCCCTCAGGACCACGACGGAGAGTTCTCCGCCTTCCAGCTGGTGGGGATGCTGCGTGGCATTGCTGCGGGCATGAAGTACCTCTCTGACATGAGCTACGTGCATCGTGACCTGGCTGCCCGAAACATCTTAGTCAACAACAACCTGGAGTGCAAAGTGTCCGACTTTGGCCTGTCCCGCGTGCTGGAGGACGATCCTGAGGGGACGTACACCACAAGTGTGAGTCCATCCAGGGATTTCCCGACCAGGAAAACTTGCTGTTGACACGCGTGATGTGAGACGTGATGAGGTTTTTGAAGCCTTCAGTTGTAGTTCTTAGACCCGCTGTTTTTATTCGAACAGGGAGGGAAGATCCCCATTCGCTGGACGGCTCCAGAGGCAATAGCTTACAGGAAGTTCACCTCAGCGAGTGATGTGTGGAGCTTTGGCATCGTCATGTGGGAGGTCATGGCGTTTGGTGAAAGACCGTACTGGGACATGAGCAACCACGAGGTGAGGCTCTATGTCTTTTTTTAAAAGCTCACTTTGAGTATTTTGACGTTTTTGGTGAAAACTACAAGTGAGAGCATACAATAACTTATCCAACAAACGGTTTGCAGGTGATGAAAGCTATAAATGAGGCTTTCAGGCTGCCCGCCCCTATGGACTGCCCCTCGGCCGTGTACCAGCTGATGCTCCAGTGCTGGCTTCCGGAGCGTTCCAAAAGGCCACGCTTCGGAGACATCGTCAGCTTGTTGGACAAGCTGCTGCGCAGCCCAGACTCCCTGAAGGCCATCGCAGACTTCGACCCACGGTAAGATTCATTCATGCATCAGGCAAAGGGCTCATAATGAATACTTTACTCTACATCTCAGGCAGGCTGTCACTATCAGCACCGAGTGCTTAGAAACAAACCTGTGAGACAAAAGCTTATATTAAATCAGTATAAACTCAGTGTGTCACTCTCACAACCATCTCTTCTAATTCTTTGTGTCATAAAATTCTAAAGGGAAATATGGAAAAGGTAGAATTTAATAAGAGAAGTGAGGCAACTTTGATTTTTGCTGATCGCTCTCTGTTGTGCAGAAGCAGGAGTTTAATCTAAAATTTAATTAATAAAAAAAGGAATTAAAAATAGCTACTTCATGTTAATCTCTACATACAAAAATCCTTAACAGAAAAGAAGATTCAGCTCCAAAAATGTGAATGCATTCTGAACTCTTACACAAGCACTCTTGAACAAATTATTTGCATATTGAGAATGCTGACTTCCCTTCTGTAGAGATTTGTCTGCAGACACAACCTTATTTATTCATTATCTTTTTAAGGAAGCGGAAGCATGTTACTTGGACTCGTTATGGTTGTGTAAATCACAAAGAGAATGCATATTTTCTCTTTTGTTAGAGACTATTTACTACAGAATCAGTAAGAAAAAAACAAAAAGATGCCATGCTCATATTGTACTTGGCTCTCACTCTGACTCCTCTAACTGGTTTTTATCACCAACTGGTTTCCTGCTGAGTAATTACAGGCTTTAGTCATCTGCCTTTGTTGTGGGACAGCCTGTTGATGATTATCATTTGGATCTTCATTTTTTTTTTTTGTTAGTGTATCCATCCGCCTGCCTAGCACCAGCGGCTCGGACGGTTCTCCATTCAAATCGGTGTCAGATTGGCTGGAGTCCATCAAGATGAACCAGTACAGCGAGAACTTCAGCCACGCTGGGATAGTCAACATGGACCAGGTCCTTCAGATGAAGAATGAGTAAGTTTCACTGTTGCATGTTGCTGGCAAGGAAGAGAAGAAATTTAGCCTGTGAAACTAATATGTTGCGTAAAGAGACGAAGCCTGTCATGGTCATCTGTGGTATTTTTATGCATTTGTTTTCCTATAAATGTTACTTTTTAACAGCCAGCTGAATAGTTTGCTCACAATATAATCTCTAACCTCGGTTACAACTTGAGAAATGTTTGAGACGGAAAATGTAATGAAGGGAAGAAGCTGAAGTGGGCTCATTTGTGGTAGGCTGGTGGTGGTGGCTTGTGGTGACTGCAGCTCTTATTCTGCTTTGCCCTCTCCATTTTTTTTCTCCCATCCCTCCCTGCACCCACACAGAGTCGCTGCCCTGAGCAGCACTTTTGCTTGAGCCCCGAAAACCACCGGCTTTGCCTTTTTAGGTCAAAGGCCTTTTGTGGCTTCTTCAACGCTAAAAGGATGGAGGAGAGAATAGCCTTTGGAGAAACAGCACCTTCAGGAGATTATGGACCTGAAATAGTTAGATGATTTGAACTTCTAGAGAGATTGATGTGCTCAGAACGTACGTCCTGTAGGTAGTTTGAAGCAATCCGATCTCCTTACATGTGTAGGAGTTCTGCAAGAGGCAATTTCAAAGATCTACTGTAGCTCTACCTCCAGGAACAAAAAACAAACAAAAAAACCCGGTGAAGCACATAATATAAGGCTGCTTTGAAACAGAAATGAAGGCCTGGGCCTTCTCTAACCACATGACCAGCCAAAAAGAAGCCCCACCCTTTTCTTCCATTGTACGTATGTCACTTGCTCTCGATCTGGGGAAGATGGGCAGACTGAAAAGCCTGGACAGACTCTTTTGAAGTGTTTGTCATGCTGTATGGTGTGATTTCATGGCCCCATGTTTCCATCTGGGGGCATCTGGTAGCACTCTCTGAAAACCACCAGATATTTACGATCCACCCTCTGCTTGCCAGACAAGTGATTCATGGTCAACAGGGAGAATCCTCGTTAAGTAATTAAGGCTGTAATTAAAGCGTTAGGACAGTGTGTATACAGGGCTTCTGCAGGTTGCCATTACAGGAGCAAAGCCCCGGTAAAGTCCTTTTATTGTAAAAGACGAATTAAAGCGTTGGCAGATTAAAAACTTGCAGAGCACCCCACCTAGCCGAGATGGTACAAGCCACACTTGAATGCGTTTAGCTCCAGGCTGGCATTTCATCACACCGACTGAGTCAGTGATTGCTTCAAGGCTTAAGAGGCAGGAAGGATGTATGTAGAAACCTGGAACGAGGCCAAAATGAGAATCAGTGCAGCTTGTCTTAACCGCTGTCATGTCTCTCCTCCACAGGGATATCAAGAACATCGGGGTGAGGCTCCCCGGCCATTTGAAAAGAATAGCTTACAGCATCTTGGGCTTAAAGGACCAGACCAGCACCCTGAGTGTGTTTGCCGTCTGATCCGAACAATGAAGGGAGTCAAAAATCATCAGGCACTGCAGCAGGCAGCCCTTTGAACTCTGAGCTGAGCTGGAGCAATTCTGCAGGGACGGCTTTGGATCAACAGAACTGAGAGAACTGTGCCATCCTTCGGGCCGAATGAATCAGACTGACTTACTGTACATTTGTGATTTCTTTCACCTATTCCACAGGATATGGAGCAAGTACACCACAATAAATGTATCAAGTAGACTCCATATATCTAAATATCTATTTTTCTAATATACCTGTCTCCTTTTACAGATAAAATAGATTTTTGTTTTATTTTTCCACTCCTGCTTGGTAAAAATCAGCAATCGACCCACTTCAGCTACACAAAATCTCGCCCTGAGTTTATCACAGACTCTGTCAAACACACGGGAAGCACGGGATGTGGGACCAACAGGGTCCAGCTGCGGTCCAGGTTGCAGTTTGATATCCCGCCATCTCCCTTTAAGTGGGACGTTGCACCATTCGTGTCAGACCAATGAGGTTGAAGCAACAAGAGGTCTGAAATGATCCAGAGCTGGCCCAGAACGGGACTTTGTATTGTTACATGCCTCCTTCTTGCTCTGTGCTGAAATTAAGCTATATTGTTGTGAGTGTATATGTGGAAGAAGAGAGGATACGCTTAAGGTACTTTGTGTAGAGATTCACTTATTTTTCATTCTTATTCCTTGTTTGTGTTTTGGCAGTTACCCAAAGCATTTTGATTAAGAACTTTTTGTAATGTAGCACTTGAATAAGATAACCAATTTTTGTCTCAGAATTGGAAAAGAAAAAAGGGCAATTACACTCGAATAATGTACTGAATGAAACTGTGTCAAAGAGATTTTGTGAAAGGAATAAGTCTGAATACGATTGCTGGAGAGAAGTCGTAAAAATGTACATGGCCGGCAACAATAGTCAGTGACATAATCTTTTAACATTAGTTTGGTTTGGAATTTCAAGCTTCACAAAAGTTCAGTCATTATACTGTAGAGTTAACATGTTAACATTTGAATAAAGTGCCTTTTTGTGGAAGATTTAAAAGAGTTCACCTCTCCCTCCCCCATGGCGCTCCTAAATGATGACTGCAAATCTTTGTGTTACTGATGTACACTTCCCTTTACTTGAATTTTCACTGTATTGTTAATTTTGTGATTATTTTTTTGTAGCTGATGGACCCTTTTTTGGAAAAGGGATGTTTTTTTTCTTATATATTACTCTGGTTTATCAGTTGCAGTTACAGTTTTGTACATTTTGTATGATTTCCAATATTAATCGTGTTTGCCAAACTGTTTATTTTTCTAAGTTCTCTCCACTTCCCAAAATGATGTCTCTTCCTTTTGCTGCATCTCCAGATTTGTTTCGTTCCTATATCAAAGAGCAAACCCCTGCAAATTCCTTCCTTCCTGCCTATTGTTTTATAATGTATTTAATAGCCTATTTATTTTTTAACTTTTATTTATTTATCCTGATAAACACTGAGCTGGGTTTATAATTGGAGGTTGCTCGTGAATTTAAAAAAACGAAAAAACAAAACTTTATTCCTCTTCAATTCTTGAGCTGTTCATATCTGAGACTGCATTTGCAAAATAAAGTTTTAAATGGAGTTTGTCGAACTGGTTTGATCACTGTCATGCAACTTAACAAAATAAACCGTTTTCATCATTTTGAAGGCACCAGGATGTTTATGCTTCCTAAAGGAGGTGCTTATTAGGATGCGGGTGGTTTTGATCCCAGAGTGGGAACCTGTAATAAACACCTGAGCCTTTGCCTCCTGGAAGGTGTAAACAAACACACTCCCTCCCTCACACACACAAACACACACACACACACACACACACACACACACGCAGATAACTATACAAAACACAAACCCACATGCCCAGTCAGCGAATACAAAGAATGTTTGATATAATGAAATGAAATCATCCGTGAAATACATGTAAATGTGGAGATTCAGCCATGGCATTTATATGAATAATAAACAGAACTGTCTGTGCTAGGAATGGAAGATAACAGCTACATTTGGACTTTATCAGATTTGTGGTCAGAGAAGGACAGTGCAGCAGCCCCATACAGTGGAACATAAAAGAAGGATACTGCTGCTTTAAAAAAATAAACGGCCCAGTCAGTCATGACTGGGGTGACATGAAACTAGATTTTTATTTTAGCCGTTGATGTTGTAAGACACTGAATATAAAACAGAACATTTTTCTTACAATCCTGTTTGACCATTTCCACGAAACAAAAGAAGAAAAAAACATGACAAAAAACATTTATATGAATCATTCCGTTATGCAATGAGTGCATGTTTGCAGAGTTATTATTTCATTTTTATGGGGTTGGGTTGAAGAATTGCTGAGTCATGAAAAAGGAGTCAGAACGAGGTCCACTGTGAGTAATCCATCTATTCATTTCAGGGTTTATTTCATGCCAGAACACAGCCCAGCTATTTATTAAACCATAAGACAGGGTTTACGAATCTGTCATCTACATGGCAATTATGTGAGAAACCATCAGAGGAACCAAACACATTCAGATTTAAAGTAATCCACCGGGAATGTATCCCTGCAACCAATTTATAGTGGACGGTCTCTTTTGCTTTTGGATTGGCCCCTTTGCTTTCTTTCCCAACAGAGTCAGTCTGAACATGGCTGTAGAGTTGACCGTGTTAGTCCTGACCCTGAAACTGAACCACAATAAACTAAATAAAATCAATGGAATCCAGGTCTCCCATTACCTATGGTGGAACATTTTTTTCTGTCATCAGTAAACCACTTAAGTGCAGAAAAGGGCAGAGGTCACGAATTATATTTGGAGCCCCTTTAATGCATGACCTCCGCGGGAATGCAGCACACCAGCAGAGCAGCGAGTAAATATTAGTGTCAAACGAGGTGGGGGTGGAATGTGACATCATTTTTGTTTGATCATATTTTAAGACTCACACCTGCAAGTGCCAGTAAAAATATAACCCAACAAGCCCGAACATGTCGCGTATTAGCCACTCCCTTCACCTTAACTGAGTCAGCTTGTCTTATCTTCTGCTCTGACTTAGTCTCTGGTGCCTCGCATTCAGGAAATTATCAGCTCTGGTTGATTGATGCGAGTCAAAAAGCCCAAAAGCATCGGAGGCACCCACCAAAAAGAGGAACGACGATTGTTAAGCATTGAACTAATCTGTAAAGAGGCAACAAAAAGGCCAGCACAGACAGAGCATGGGAACTTGGATTGGCCACAAAGTCCCTCATGAGTCTTTGTCCTTGACTTCCAGCTGGCTGTATGTTCTTGCCTCTGTTAAACCAATAGGATGCCCAGAAATAGTCCTGGCTTTATGTGGCGACTGTAAACTGAGAAAGTCTTTCACTATTTTCCATCTCCTTCCATCCATTCCCCCAGTGTTTCACAGCATGGTGGACTTTTTTTTTTCTCTCTCTTTCTCTCTCTTTCTTCTGTCCGGAGTGGAAAAAAAAGAAGAACAGAGCTATACAGTTGAGCTGCTGATTGTACTGTTTGGATTTATGTAAATCCCTTTCTGAGTGCATCCAAGCTGCGGTGGGTTTGCGTTCCTGTCGTCGGCCGTAATGTGATTATCCTTGCTCCGTGGGGGTGGTACGTGTGGAAGTTTGTGTCTTGTCATTAGTACTGTAAATGACAGAGAGGCAGAGAAAGTGCAGAGAGGGGGAGTGAGGCCTGTTGGTGACGGCGGGAGGGGAGGGGGTTCGCTGGAGATTTGAGCCATACCAGAGCTTTACTGCAGGCCACAATAGCATGTGTGGTGATTGTGTTGAAGGCTTGGCGTCCAGGGCCCGAGCCTCCCCTCTGTGGACCGTTCTGTGTGGGGGCAGCAGCTTTCCCTCCTTCTTGTGGCCTGTTAGATGTCTTTGTTCCCCGGGCGAAGGCCAATTAAAAGAGAAATAAGGAAGAGGGAAAACATTACCACAGCCCTTCTCATGTATGACCCCTGGCTACGGCACTGCCCGTGTTTCTTTTTTTTTCTCCACGTTTTATTTATTCATTGATTCTTTTTTTTTGTGTTGGTTTTATGTTCTTCTGGCATCTCTTACAGTCAGGCGCGGGCTTAGAAAACCGGCAACTCTGTGGAATTTACATCCCTGCTAATTTTAGCAATGGGTTCCTGACCAGAAAACACATCCTCCAATTTCTGTCTATATTGGTCCTCCCGCGTCTTTCCATCGCTGCTTCTCTCACCAGCACTGCCGGGCTTTCGTGGATTGTTCTCCGAGCCCCCGTCATTTTCTAATTTTCATTCTCAACATGGACGAATTCTGCCAGAGCCATTCTCCAGGTTTAATCCAAGCAGGAACAATCTGAGCAGCTACAACCGGCAGCTGCAAAAAAACTTGTTTAATAAAAAGATGAGGAAGGAATAATCATTGCTGACATGGGGCACTTCCACAACCGTGCTGCTCCAAAGCCGTTTGATGTCAGCACAGACGACATGTCGGGGAGCGGAGAGCCGTAACACAAGCTGCTGTTGACATAAGCCGTGTCTTTCTGCAGACTCTTTGTATATTTTGAAACGTCGGCCTAATTCACTCCACATTTCTCTCGGTCGCAGAGCTGATGTCACCCGACGCGTCGGATTCTCACAGAATCCACCTCACAGGAGCCTGCTCACAATATGGTTTTTAAAGAAGCTCCGGTCAGGAAATAATCAGGGATGTGTGCTGTAATTATCCAAAGTCACTGATCCAAAGGCAGACTAAAAAAGATCTGAAGTGAGCCAAGCAGCACCAGGGCACCTTACAACACTTAAGAAGGAGAAAAAACTTGTTCAAAATCTTTCCAGTGTGCACATTTTGTTCCCAGACCGACTAGGATGCTGTGTTTAAATTCTTAAGAAAATGCAACAAAAACTGGAAACAACTGTAGGTTTTAATGTTTTTTTGTACTTTTTTTAAGTTCAACAGTTTGGCTTCTCCTTTGTTGTATCACTTGTATCATAAAGCTTCAAATGTTTTCAGTGGTTGACAGATATGGACTGTGGCCTGGTCAGATTGGCTCCAAAACTCTCTTTCTGCAGATCCATGATGTGAATGTGGTGTGGCTTTGACTCTCTGCAGCAAAGTCCTGCCAGAAAAAGAGGCTTCCTGTATCCTTCAAGTCCTTCAATGATATTTTGTTATGTAGATGTTAGATGTCCCAAATGTTCGATTTACATTCGGAGGAACTGGCTTGAACATTTTTCCACAGAAAGTGGAAACCCCCACATGTCTGTACCTCCATGAAAACGTTAAGCGATTGATCTGCTTAAAACTGAGACATTTTTTCCTTTTTTTAATCATCAAACAGCTTTTTCATTGTCCCTTTGCTTGGGAACCAACCTAAAAAAAAAACCTGTTCCACTATCCTTAGTTTCAGCATTTGTTATGTTGTCTTAAAACTACTGTATATGAATCACAAACTGAACTGAAGTTTTATTTACTCGTTTTGGTGCTATAGTTTTGGCCCTAACAAGATATATTATAGTGCACCTACAATGAATATGTGGCTATGCGTGTTTGTATCTTCTATTATTTCGCTAAAGTGCACATTTGACAAAATCCTGGTTGAAAAGGGATCTTTGGATACCTGAAGCGATGTTTTCAGGGCTGGCTTAAAGCCTTGAACCTGCAGTTGTTTTAACCTACTGAAGCCAGAAAAATCCACATTTGATTAAAAGGGAGAACATTTAGGAACAGTAGACCTTTCAAAAGGGTTGAGTGACAACCTCTCTGATTTGGGACTGCCCTCAGAGAATGCTGACAACACACGAAAGAGGTCAATTCAGGTTGTTTAAGGCTCTTATCTGAGAACAAGTGTACCGGGACCGTCAAACAGATCTGAGCATGATAGCAAAAAGAAAAATAAGCATATAGCTGTTATGTACAGGAATGCTGGTCACATTTTTGCTGCGCTGTTGAGAGGGTTGAGTGACACCCCTCTCTTCACTGTGTGTTCAGCTGTCTCTTTGGTACCGTGCGCACATATTTCTCTGCTCCACAAATGAATAAATGTTTTCATTACTTAATGAAAGATTAATAGAACAGAGGCAATTAGTCAATCATCCGTGATTACAAGTTTAGATTAATATAATTGTTCACTTTCAGTTTCTGTGCTAATACTTTTCATGTCCCATGTGCAGAAAGTATCCCCTGAAATCTTCCAGACAGTTACAGTTTCTGTGTTCACATAAGTTAAATCAGATGTTTTGGAGACTTAAAACAGGTCCTACTCTTGACTCCAGGAAGCTGGCTATTGAGTCTGTTTGAACAGAGCAGGCATTTCTCTGGAGGGTTTGAATCTGACATTCAGCGTGCGTGCTGCTGCAGGCAGCTGTTCTCCACCGGGCTACTTTCAAACCTTTCGTGTAGTTTGGATATAAACACAAAAACATCCATTATTACAAATCAGGAGACGATGAGCTGAAAGCACAACTGGGATTTGCACAGCATGAAACTATTCCATGTATTCTACACAGTGAATAGGCGCCTACAGACAACATCGGTGTCTGGTTCTCTGCCGATCATGTGTGAAAAAGGCTAAATAAATCCTTTAATTCAGTGTCTGCGGCTTATTATTGGTTTTGCAGCTTAAGTCACTTCAGCAGTCGGCTAGGTAGCTCTTTGCATCCAGATGTTTTCTCGAACCTCATTAGAGTGGCAGAAAGTTTTAC